TATTGAATTGTTTTTTTCAGAAGGAAAATATGCACGGGCATATTATGATGATAGTTATGAATGGAGACGTAATAAAATGCTAAGCAAAGCTCCTGTTCCAGGTATGATTATACTTTGTAACACATTTTGTGCGACAACTTATACTGTATGAAGGAATATAATGCAGGGATCCCAGTTTAGAAAAAGTGATTTCCGGTACATGAAACATATACGGCAAGACTTATTTTATACCTTGTTGACGAACCCACTGCCCACAAATATTGAAGATTTCAAATAAAAATAACATTTTATTTTGGTTAATTAGCGCACCTGCTGCAAACAAAAAAATTTGAAATTTCTGAAATCAAAATGTTTTTCCTAATTTTTACTATACCTGCCATTGCCTTGGAATATTCAAAAATGATATATGTATTTCTTCCTAATTACATAAATTTAAAGCATTAAACCATCCCATTACTACCAAAAAAAAATTTAAAGAATAAAAATTTCTACATATTAGTAGACTCTATAATCGATTTATTTAGGTATACGATAAAAAGTACAAAAAGCAAAAAAGTTGAAAGTTAATGCAGTACAAAAATTCAAGAAATCTAAATATCCATTCAAACAAACAAAAAAATGATACCAAAATATATATTTACAATTTCATCATTTTAAAAATATAAACTGCTTTTTCATTTTTTTTTTATGTATTATTCATTATTGCAATTACAATTATTATTGAAAATATTATCACTATTTATTTACTGTACATTTATTAAGTATAGACTATGGTTATTACATTTACACAATTTAAAAAAAAAAAAACCCTTGATCAGTGGTGGATGGTAAAAGCAAGAAGGGTATACATTGCATCCCCTGCCTAAAACCATGAAGGTTCCTAATTTTATACCTCCATGCTAAAACTAAAACTAAAGAAAAGAATTTATGGTACAGTTTCTCCATTTTAATTGCCACAATCTTCTATACAAATTTTTATTCATTGGAAATACAAATACAATTAATTGGAATAGCAAAGTTTTTCAATCTTTTACATACTTTGGTATCTCGGGATAAGTCACACTCGGGCTTATCGTGTCATACTCTATCAGCTGCTTAGAATTTCCGCTTGACTGGTTTTCATTATCAGCCTATCGTATATTCCGTGAGTCAATGGAAGTGAGTAAAGCATACCCTACAACGCTTAAGCTTGCTATAGTTCCAACTGCGTGGTGGCATTAGAATAGCCAATTTAACACTGGAATGGAAGTGTTCACTCCAAAAGTATGTGCGCACGCTCTTCTTCTCACTTCATCTCTCTATAACATAATCAAGACCCACCACCAGAGGGCGCACTATGATTACACCTTACTTGCACAAAACATCATACATGGATGCTGAAGATTTCAAGGGCTAGGTTATTGGCTGATTCTACCTTTACATTAAAAGGTACATCTTGAGAATGAGACAGTGAAATGCAAAATAACAAATGATAACGGCGACAGATGCAGAAGACCAAGTCCAACAATTTAAATTTGATGCATTGTTAGTGAGATCATATCTAAAAATTACGGAAATAGGTGAAAAATAACAAAAATTTCAATTTTGATTTCCAGAAGTGCTAGCCTATCGTCGTCCTGCACAACTACGTCGACGAAGTGGCACACTTAAATACGATGTAGCTCCTCCTCCTCCCTCTCCGCCGCCTGGATCTAGTGGCAGCCTTCCACACCCGCCACCACCAGCACAACAACAGAGTCAAATGCCTCCTCCACCACCTGCACTAAGCGCAGCTCCTGTTTCAGGTATGTTTTTATGCAGACGATATGAAGGATTTTTTTTATTCTTTTGTTTGCTTGTGGGTTGCAGGAGGCCATTCCAATTTCTCAGAGATTTTTCCCACATCTTGCAGGATACTTGGGATCACTGGTAGTGTAACACAAACAAAATTATAGGAGAGATACTGAATAATTGTTTTCAATTCAATTGAATTTATTTGGCATCATTAAAAAGAAAATTATTACAAACATCAAACATTAAAAACATGAATTTACTAATTTACAACGAGATAGATAAAAAGGCCTGAAGCAAGAAGTTAAAAATTGCAATAATATGTTATTAGTAAAAATGTAAAAATTGTTTTCTTCTGTTTATCTGGTCAGTATTCCTGGCCATACAGCTATTTTTGTAGGAAACAATTTTATTACAAATCTTTCACCTACTAGCCACACCCACCTTGTAGTGACAATACACAAGGCCAAATAAAAAAAATTACTGTGTCTTGGTCACTGCAGGCACCATTTGCAAATATTAATGTGACATAACCATAGACTTATAATAATTTTTTTTAATAGCTCTATGCACGTACCAGTTTTAAAAAAAGTAACAATAACTTAAACATTGTCTATAAAACTGGTATGCCACACCGGCTCCCCAACACGGCATCGGTGGCTTCACTTTTTTCTGTAAAATGATTGTCCAATGAGCAAACTTATAATAGTAGTAGAGATTAGTGCCCACTACCTTGTGCAATCACAAGTTCCCTATTATTAAATTTAGGTGAAGAGCAAATTTAGGTTATGATTTTGTGGTGTCTTTTAAAGTGCTAACGTCGCAGACCTAAATATCTCAAAAACTGATCAGTGGATCTGAAAGAAACGTTCCAGAATGGTTCGTCATAATCTAAAGGAACAATGATTGAAGGCGCCCAGTGGCTACTGGCTCGCACATAACTAAAAATGCATTCGTGGGCCAGTTGGTAATATGATATTCGCTTTGAAAGCAAAAGTTCTCTGGTTCAAATCCCAATGGTGATTGACAGTAGTTTTCTATTGAATTGTTTTTT